ATGCCGTGACTCACCTATCGGGACGGTGACGTTTTCGTAACTAAATGCATAGCATTTTAGCCAATATAATTGGCGTTGGATCAGAAAGGCAGCATTTCTTTGTGCCAAAAATACTTTTTAACATATTCAGAAATTATTGTCCTATGTGGTGATTATTTTTTTATTAAATTCTGATACTATTTGACTATGAACTTTGATGAAAATATATTTAATTACGGAGTACGATATAAGTTTAATAACATTGGCATCATTTAATGTTGAAATATCAGTTTTTTATAAGATTTACTCAGTATTTTATTTTAAATGATGGAGTATTTCATTTGTGGTCAAAGAATATGAGGCTAAAAAATCAAACTAGAGCAAGAGTTTTAGATTTGAAGGAGTATATTTTATGTGTCCCTAAAAGTCTTTCTACATTTGGTAAAGTTAGTTTCTTCATTTTGAATTAATCATCTTAGTTTGACTTCATGAAATTTAAAAACAATAGTGAAACATGAAAAAATGGCTTTTGGCCTGTTTCGGGTTATGATGTAATTTATTAATTATATTTTTCTATAAATAAAACAACATAATTATTTTAGTAAAGACTAAAAAGAAAAGTATAATGATTAATTCGAGACAAAGAAAGTAATATATAGGGTAAATGTAATTTGAGTTTACAATCTATCTCACTTTATCCTTGCTTTTATCTCGTAAAATATGATGTGATTAGTAGATTAATACACTAATAAATACAAAATAATTATGGTGTGAGAGACTGGTTAATTAATTAATAGAGGTGAATAAGTGATTTTAGCCAAAAGAGAATATTTTTTGGGACAGTTGAAAAAAGAAAAAATATATTTCGTATCTAATATTTCATCTGTTTCTTAAAACACTTCGTCTTTTATTTTTTTATTGTCTCTACTTTTACTTTTTATTAAAAACTACTTTTACCCCTATTTTTCTTAACCTTCTTATCACATTATATTTTTTTACTAATAACCTACTCATCACATTTTACTTTTATCCATCACATCAAGGGTAAAATTGGAAAATTAACCACAAATATACACTCTTTATTTATCCTAAAAGTTAAAATGGGAACCGTTTTATGAAACAGAGGTAGTATCAATTTGATCTAACTAATGGTAAAAGTTCATCAATTCTGACTGCAAAAGCTGAAAATAAGAAATGAATAAACGCTCCCTCGCTAAGGTAAGACGGAGTCACGGAGATTATATACCTTTTAAAAAATGTATGGTGAAAAGGCTAAAATATGATGTTAGAAATTAGCGTTAGCAGTTTCAATTCAAAATTAGTCTACACTAATCAAAAACTTTGTTCTCAAACATGGTCATAGTGTATATCTCTATCTTTTTTTAGGACAGAAAACACATTTAAAGCCCCTTTTGATATGTCTCATTCCCTCCTTTAGATACTTTGCCGATAAGTCGCACTCTGAGAGCATTATTTACCACTATAAACCCAACCAAGCAAACAAAGATAAAAGTTGCAGATATCGACCACTCCTTTTATCCATATTTTGCCTCATCTTCACGTACGTGCCTTAGCTTAATTGATACCCAACCCTTTCATTTTTCCCTCTCTATTTGGCCTTTTTTTCGTAGTTCTTTATCAGATGAAAAAAAAAGATTAAAACAGGAGTTAAAAATTTAAAATATATTAAAATAGAAGTTCGATATTTTTATTCCAGAAATATGAGTCAAAATGCATATGCAGTGTCAATCGTGACCGGTGACCATATACATTATCAAAAAGTACTCTGGAATACCCTTATACAGTGTTACTTACATTATTACAGTGCAAACTCCTATTTTGGAGATAAAAAATAGAACTCTTATTTTAGTGTTTTTCTATATTTTTTTACTCTTATTTAGGCTAATTTTTTAAAAAGATATACAAACTACATTTAAAAGGATACACAATTACTCTTCTTTCTTGTCACGGATTTGCCAAGGCATTCAAAGGGATTAAACAAGGGTTCACATGACCAAAGTCTATTACTATGATTAGTCTCATGTCATCCACATTAGAATCTCTTGATCTTACCTTATTCAAAAAATTAATGATTTTTATCTCTTCCAATCCACTCCCTAAACCCTTCGCCCTATCTCGGCCTACCCTGACCCGATCCAAATTGATCCCCACCTCTTCAATAAAACCACCTACATACGCAATTTTAGTTAACTTTGGCCGGGATCAAATATTTTGACCTCAATGTCAATTAAAATTGGAGGGTGTAATACTACAATTGATGTACTTAGGGGCGGGGATTGGGTTGGGTCGGGTCAAGCTAGTGTAGGGTTTAGGGGGTGAGTTAGAAAGAATACGAATCGTAAATTTTACGAACAAGACATTGTAAGACACCCAATTGAAACTGATATCATAAGATGACATTGATAATCGATGTCATCCGTATCGTGCCCTTTCAAAAATTTCAAAAATCATAAGTTATATTGCGAGTTATTTATCATTATTGTTAAATCTAGAAGTTTTCTGCTATATTAATTCATTGGTTCATCATTAAGTGCTTATGTATGTACATAGGGAGATGGACCAAAATAGGAGTAAAAGATATGTCATATGCCAAAATAGGAGTTAAAACTTAAACTCCTCTAAATAGAAGTAACTAACTTAACAAGACCTCCCCTAGCTAGTATGCACCAAGAATATCATATTTTCTCTTCAAACGCCTTCCATTAGCCATCCGAACAAAAAAATCTAGATTTTTTTTATTAAATAAATTATTTAGTCTTCATATTTTAGCCCAATTTCTTGGTCTGAACAAAAATCCACCCAAAATTTTTAAAACCATTTCTTTTGAATTCTATTTAATTTCCCAACAAAGAATAGCAAAACTGCTTCCTTTATTGTTCCTCCTCCCTCATCGTCGCTATAGTAAAGAATACTCTTTATACGAAGTGCCATCGAAGCCATAATACCAACAATTACAATCCATAATGCCAACTATTATACTAAATAAGTACAAATATGCCACTGTATAAGGTAAAAAAGAAAGCAAAGTGCCAAACATGGCACTGTCTAAGCACAAATATGCCAGTGTAGAATATCAAAAAGAAAGAAATACGCAAAGAAGTAACTTGATAGTGAATTAATTACAAATTTACAAATTTGATTCTCAGAGTGTCTGATGGCTAATACGCTTGTATTCAGGGATAACAAGAGATAATTTTGGATATTCATGACTACTTTAAATATTATATAGTCATTCCAAAAAATATATATTATATATCGAACAATAAAAACTAAAGCCACCAAAATGAAAAAGCTGTGTTAGATTGGGGCATCGGATGAAGTAGGATCATGAAGGTTCAATGTTGACCCTCACATGTAAAGCTACTCGCTTAATCAAATAACAATCACCGGAAATGTGTTCCCTCACCCATACTTTTTCTCATAAAGGTCTAATTTGATTTTTGTGGCCAAGAGCAAATAAAAAATAGCTAATTACTCCTATTTAGGGTATTTTATGTTTGAACTCCTATTTTGAGGATATAAAACATGTTTTACTCCTATTTAAGGAATTTTCTTATGTACATATACTTGCAATATACTCCGTATATCGTTTAATAGAATATACAGTATATCTTACTGCAATGATACTAGATACAATTATACAAATTGTTTGTATAAGTGCATCTCAAGTACTGCTGTATATATTCGATCAACAAGCATTTTAACTCGTGCTACGCACGGGATTAAATGATTTTTTTGTTTGGAATTTGTAATTTTTCTTTACTACAACATTTTAATTCTCTGAAATCGAACAAAATAAAACACTGACCTTAAAAGTTAAAATAATGATAAAGCATATAATATTTGCTAATGATAATTTTACCATATACATTTGAAAATTAACATATCAAACTGTTAGCTAAATTAGAATAATTTGAAAAAAATTTGAGGTATACAATATTTTTGAATAATGTTATAAAAACTACTAAATGCATCTAAAACTAATACTTTCAACTCTACTTTTACTCTCACTTGTGAAACATCAATTTGTATAACATCAATATTAAGTTAAGCATTATTGAATACCAACTTGATAAAATACAATCCTATAAATGGCAATGTTTGGCCCTAATTAACTTTTAATTATAATCATAACGAACCATATACTTTAAAAAATTGCAATTTTTGAAGCTTCACGGATAATTCTATATGAAACGAACATAATTTCTTTTTTATTCAATTGACTGATTTTTAAAGCTTAATTGGAATCCGAGAAAAATATTGTAGTAAAAATTTTATTAAAACTGTTGTTAGTTAAAGAAGAAAGTTTTATTTTTTCCATTAATCATTTTATTTTATGCAATACCATATTTATGTTTCACTAATTTTATTATATTACATAATTTATGTTATTATATCATAAATTAGTTGAAGAAAATTTCGAGTCAATTACATGTCTATTGAGGTGTTAAAAAAATGTCTAGTGAGCATGATACATGTCGTAATTTAGGAACTCTAACTCTCCTTTTATATATATAAAGATTTTGTACAAGTACATCTCCAAATTGTTTGTATAAGTGCATTCCCTAATAGTGTTTCATTTCCAATTGTAAAAAGAGTTTTGTATTATTTCAAACCAAAGTATGGATTTTGAAATTTTGGGTTTTCCATGTTCTTTTATTCTATATCTTTATTATTTCAAAGTCAAAATCAATTTGTACCTTATCCATTTAAAATGGGTAGGGTAGCAATTGAAGAGTGTGTTCGGATCGGAGCAGGATGAGGAGTTTATCGGGAGTTAGGGATAGAAGCCGTCAATTTTACGAATGGGACACCAGAGCACGCCCCCTGATCATTCCATGACATTGCGAGACAATTTACCTTGCCCATTTAAAACACATCCACCCGATTTTTTTTAAATAAATCTTAATTCTAAATGAATAATTAGAAGATACTCCCTCATAGAAATGAAATTAGACCCAAAAGACTATTATACCCTTTAAACTTACTCCCAATTACTACCCTACCCAACAACCCCCCATCTCTTGAGCCCTTCCCATCCGTCATCGCCACCTCCAACACTCACCAGTCACCACCCCCTATATCACTGCAAATCTTTTCTTTCGTTTATCTTTTTTTGGGTCTTTTTTTTTGGCTCTGGAGCTAGAGATGGCCGATTCCATCACGCACAAGCAAGATGCGATGGGGGCAGGTTTGAAGGAGCAGTGATGAAAGGACACCGGCGAAGGGGCGAAGATACTCCGTAACATTTTCTTGAGGTCCAACCCTTTCGGTACAATGATCTGTCGTAGCCTTCGTTTCTGCGAAAAGGTTAGGACTGGTAAATGCGTTCTTAGCACTAATCCTTATCTGAGAAGGAATTACGGCTTCTCTTCCGCCGCCAATACATTCATTTTCAATCGTACAAACCCCAATTTTTTCCCAGCATCTTATGATAATAAAGATTATATCAAAATTTGTTATTTTGTGAGAAATTATTGTTCCGGGAAGGGCAGGGAAGTTCTTAATGAGTGGAGTGAAGACATAGTGTACTTGGATGAATCGGGTGGAGTAATCTACTCTGGAAAAGGGATAAGGTCAGTCGAGCCCGGTCTTGATGACCATGTAATGGTGGGTGGCTTGAAGAAGCCTATTCTGAATGCTTCTGCAGTGGCTAAGATAGTTGAGATTGTTAAAAGGTGGAGATGGGGTCCTGATATGGAGACCCAGTTGGACAGACTTCATTTTGTGCCGAACATGACTCACATTACGCAGGCTTTCAAGGTTATGGAAGATGCCGATGCTTCCCTAAGCTTGTTTCGGTGGGCCAAGCGACAACCTTGGTACAAGCCAAGTGATGAGTGCTACATGATTATGTTTGATAGGCTGAATCGAAATAGAGATTTTGAGGGGATTCGATCGGTTTTTGATGACATGGTTGTCGATTCGGGGGAGAAAGGCACCTCTTTAATCAATGCTTACAACCAGGTCATTCAGTATTTGGCAAAAGCTGAGAAGTTGGAATTGGCATTCTGCTGTTTTAAGAAAATTCAGGAGTCTGGTTGTGAAGTAGACAGCCAGACCTACAATTCTGTAATAGCCCTGTTTTTCAGTAAGGGCTTGCCTCACAAGGCATTTGAGGTATATGAGAACATGGAAAATGCAAGGTGCTCGTTAGATTCATATAGTTACGAGTTAATGGTACCAAGTCTAGCGAAATCAGGCCGCCTTGACTTGGCATACAAGCTCTACCAAGAGATGAAAGAAAAGAGGTTCCGGCCAAATTTTGGGATTTTTTCCACACTTGTTGATACAATGGGAAAAGCTGGGAGGTTAGACACATCAATGAAGGTCTACACGGAAATGAAGGGTTTTGGGCTTAAACCATCTGCAACAATGTATGTGTCCATGGTCGATTCATTTCTCAAGGCAGGGAAATTGGATACTGCATTAAGGCTTTGGGAAGATATGAAGAAGGCAGGGTTAAGACCTAATTATGGCCTGTACACTATGATGGTTGAGTCACATGCAAAATCTGGGAAACTTGATATTGCGATGTCTTTCTTTACTGATATGGAAAAAGATGGATTCATGCCTACCCCAACTACCTATTCATCACTTCTGGAGATGCACGCTGCTTCTGGCCAAGTGGATTCTGCAATGAAGCTTTACAATTCCATGATAAATTCCGGTGTAAGACCAGGCCTAAGTACTTTCACGTCCTTGCTGAGCGTCCTGGCAAAGAAGAATCTCGTGGATGTTGCTGCTAAGGTTTTACTTGAAATGAAGGCAATGGGATATTCAGTTGATGTGACCGCGAGTGATGTTCTAATGCTCTACATCAAGAACAGTTCTGTTGATCATGCTCTAAGGTGGTTGCGCTTTATGGGTTCGTCTGGGATCCGTACAAATAATTTCATCATACGTCAACTCTTTGAGTCATGTATGAAAAATGGACTTTATGAGTCTGCTAAGCCTCTCCTTGAAACGTTTGTAAACTCTGCTGCTAAGGTTGACCTAATACTCTATACCTCAATTCTGGCCCATCTGGTGAGGTGCAATGAGGAAGTGAGCGAGAGGCATTTGATGTCAATCCTGAGCGCAACGAAGCATAAGGCTCATACTTTCATGTGTGGACTCTTCACTGGCCCAGAACAGAGGAAGCTGCCAGTCCTATCCTTTGTAAGGGAATTCTTCAAGGGCATTGACTATGAGTTGGAAGAAGGAGCTGCAAGGTACTTTGTAAATGTCCTACTTAACTATCTTGTTCTCATGGGGCAGATAAACCGTGCTCGTTGTGTGTGGAAAGTTGCTTATGAAAACAAGCTTTTCCCAAAAGCAATAGTGTTTGATCAACACATTGCATGGTCTCTTGATGTCAGAAACCTGTCTGTTGGAGCAGCTCTTGTATCGGTCGTCCACACACTCCATAGGTTCAGGAAGAGGATGTTGTATTATGGTGTCGTCCCCAGACGAATCAAACTAGTGACTGGGGCGACTCTTAAGATAGTGGTCGCGCAGATGCTAAGCTCAGTTGAATCGCCTTTTGAGGTTAGTAAGGTTGTTTTGAGGGCTCCGGGCGATACTGTCTTGGAGTGGTTCAAGAAGCCAATTGTCCAGCAATTTCTCCTGAATGAAATTCCATCAAGGGCTGACATTTTGATGCATAAACTCAACATACTTTTTCCCAGTTCTGCACCCGAAATCAGATCAGTTTCCCCCCCTAGACCTCTTCTTCCCGGAAAGTATGCCTAGTTGCAAATGAGATTACATACTAAATGATGGATAATGGACTTTATGTATCTGCAAACTGATGTGTAAGCTGTTGTTTTACATGGTAGTCATGGTTAAACTCTTTCTCTTGACTCTGTAATAGTGTCTATTAGATAGAAACATCGGGCATTGCATTTTTGAAGACTTCTTAGCTGTATGTGAATGGGTTTTTAGTTCTTGTTACCCTGTGCAATTTCCCAATGTCACCTTGAATTTCTCATTTGCATCCAAAATATAACTTCGTGTACTTAGCAGCTTCTTTAATATTTTCCACTTGTCTCCACTGAACTATCTCCATATCTGCTAATGATCCCTCATCACTTGCTACTTTCATGGAGTATGGCACACCGGATGAAGTCCGTTTGTGTAACGGTAAGAATTTAACCATTTCTCACACTGCTCGGTCCACTTTACTGTTTTCCCACCTCCCGTTCCCTCACTTTATTTAATGTTCTTTGTATTCCTACTCTTCAGAACTACCCGATCGAGTTACATCATCGGAAATCACTTTGGATGGGTAGAGATGCAGTCAAAATGTCCAACCTTCTGTTTCCACTGATAAGATAGTGTCACATTACCAAGTAATAAGAAATTGACACCAGCAAAGTTTAAAGCATGGAAGGTGTGGCGCAAAGACGGTCGTAGCCTCCAGGTAATTGCTGATGAGTCTTCCATCTAAACACTTTCTTCAATTTGTTATGCACAACATTTGTGTATATTACTACTTTCTAACTGTGACTTATGAATGTTTAATGAACCATATCTCTCTTCTCCTCACAGCACAATGGGAAGATCATAACAATGTTTCGAGCCGAAGGCAAAAATCCATTTTAAAGGTACTCATTGTCTTCAGGTCTTTGAGTATATTTTCTTAGAAAATTGTTTTTTCTTTTTATTAGTTTCTCCGGTATAAAAGGGTACCGATTGCCAAAAAATTTATGTCATGATTGATTTGTTGTTTGACACCGCAGGTTTGCAATTTATGTTTTACTTCAAATGTTCGGAATTTAGATGCCCACTTTCTTATTTTTGTTTCTATAGAATTCGTTGTCCAATTTTCAATATTCATTAGAACATTGTGCTCATAATGTGAAATTGTTATTTTTTAAACTCGTTTTTTTACAGGTTCTTCGTGGAACCAATTTCTTGGAATGAAGGCGAGGCATTCTTGATGTCCAGTTCGCCCGAATTCAATTATTTGGAACTTATGGTTTCGTAGAAACACATTCGCTTAGGCGGCTTAGCATCGGGTTTTAGAATAATTATCTCTTTGATTATGGGCTGTGGCTGTTTTTTTAGAGTATATTCAGTTGAAAGTTCTTATTTTTCTAGGACTCAGAATTTTGCTTGATGTTGGATTTTTCTTCTCTCTAATTGAAATTTGATAATCTTAATCTTGTGATTTGGTTAGGTTTTATGGGCATTTCACAACTCCTTAGTATTGAGTAGTTAGTCGGAACTTTGGGTTCCTATTTGGCATGATTTTTCTACTTTCACATTTCGGAACAAAGTCTGCTAACAACTTTGTGTCCATATAATTACTCCTCTTGTGGCAAATTGTACCCCAATAATATGACAATTGTTACTCCAAAAACTCTAAAAACAAACTAAAAAATATTTCCATGCAAAAACATACTCTCTCCGTCTCAAAATGAATTCCACAATAATCAAAACAAAATCTTAAGTTTTTTTTCAATTTATTTTATTTAAAGATTGACATAGAAACAAAAATTATATGTTCAAAAGCTACGTCAAAAGTATTTCAAAACTACGTCAATTTTTTTCAAACCCTGGTAATAACAACAAACGATTTAAATTGTGACCGAGGCTGTAACATACAAGATCACAAACCATCTTGTTAAAAAAACTTAAAAAGCGAGATGAAGAAAAATGTTGTTTGGGATTTGGTTGAAGGCCAAAATATGATACTCCCTCTCTCTAGATTTTCACATCAGCTTTTTTTATTTGTCTACCATATTTAGGGACGGAGAGAGTATTTTTTTAACGTTTAAAATATTACAACTAACCTACTTTATTTATTACAACTAATCCACATTATTTAATACACTCTACCGATTTTCATTAAGGATATTTTAGTAAATTTTCATTTTTTTTCAGTTTTTCTCAAAAATCACAAAAAAATCAAAATGAGAAGATCTTAAAGAGACGGAGTGAGTAAAACATTATTTGATCATAAATCAACAGAACTTGGAGATCATCCTCGATTTGTACAAGGAACCTCCGAATGTGCAGTCAAAGAAATTAGTTGAAAAAATGTAACGGAAATTTAAGTAGGGTTGGTTGCAGTTAATTAATTTGGGTTGGGGATTCATCTGCTAACCAACCAATGTTTGACATGCGACTATAAACAGTATTTTGATTTTTGTTGCGCATTTATAATTTTCCACATCTCAGGGGGGCAAATGGGCAAAATAATATATAACCACTGATCTGATGTCATGCACGTATGTTGTTGTTGTTTAAAACAAAAGTGTACCCCATTTCTCCCCCACCCCCTTCTCCACCACTCATTTTTATTTATTTTTTATTTATTTAATTTTTTTTAAAATTTTTGTCCATTTTTGTGGTAATGGAGGAGATAGGGGACAAATGGGGTACACGTTTGTGTACCCCTAGCATTTTTCTTAAAACAATTACGGGCGCAGTGAGTTATACCGAAATGTCCCAAACAGATGAAACTGTCAAGTCGCCGTCCCGCCGTCGCTGTCCACCTCCGACACCGTAACCGGAAAGCTGGCGCGTATTCCGCCCGGTTGACGGACCAAACCATACGTATACGATATGGTCCAACTTGCGCGCCGGACCCGGTCCGCGCGGGCCCCGCCTGAGTCCTGCTGCGCGGACACGCGTACGTGGTTGGCCCCACTCCCTGTCCCCCCTCCTCCCTCCCTTTTCACTCCTCCCGCAACATTTTTCTTGCAATTACCGATTTGTCCACGCCTCTCTCTCTCTTTCCTCCCAACCTTCCAACCTCCCTTTTTGTCTGTCCTGCCCACCGTTGACGTGGCATCTGACGTGGCGCTCTACTCTTCACTTCTCCCCTATTTAAACCACTCTATCCTTTCCCCCTCTCTCACACTCCAACCCCCACCCAATTATATCTCCTTATCTTAGCTTCTCACATTTTTCCCCTCATCAACTTCTTCATCTCCATCATCTGTATATCATAATTAAAGAAAAAATCACCTGAAGAGAGCGAAAAATGGCCGTCGATTCTGTCGTGGCGTCCCCGTTGGGTCCTCCGGCTTGCGAAAAAGACGCAAAAGCCCTCCAGTTCATCGAGGAGATGACCCGAAATGCGGACGCCGTTCAAAAGCGAGTGCTCGAGGAGATCCTGAGCCGGAACTCGAAGACGGAGTACCTCCAGCGCTACGGCCTTAACGGGGCCACCGACCGCCAGACTTTCAAGTCCAAACTTCCGGTCGTCACCTACGAGGATCTCCAGCCCGACATCCAGCGCATCGCCAACGGCGACCGCTCCCCCATCCTCTCCGCTCACCCCATCTCCGAGTTCCTCACCAGCTCCGGGACATCAGCTGGAGAAAGGAAACTGATGCCTACCATCAGGGAAGAACTGGATCGCCGTCAACTTCTCTACAGTCTTCTCATGCCCGTTATGAACCTGTAAGTTTTTTTTTTAATACAATTAATTTGGATTATGGAACTAAAAAATTTTAAAAAGTCTTTTGGATTTAATTTCTATATTTAATTATTTATTTATATATAGTCTGACGTTTGTGTGGTTTATGTATGTAACAGTTACGTGCCTGGATTGGACAAAGGAAAGGGGCTGTACTTCATGTTCGTCAAATCAGAGACGAAGACACCGGGCGGGCTGGTGGCCCGACCGGTGCTCACCAGCTACTACAAGAGCGAGCACTTCAAGACCCGCCCGTACGACCCGTACAATGTGTACACAAGCCCGAACGAGGCGATTCTCTGCCCGGACTCGTTCCAGAGCATGTACGCCCAGATGGTTTGCGGGTTGTACGAGCGGGAGCAGGTGCTCCGCCTCGGCGCCATCTTTGCCTCCGGCCTCCTCCGCGCCATCCGCTTCCTCCAGCTTCACTGGACGGAGCTGGCCCACGACATCCGGACCGGGTCCCTCAGCCCGCAGATAACCGACCCGTCGATCTCCGCCTGCATGGCACGGATCATGAGACCCGACCCGAATCTGGCCGAGTTCATAACCCGTGAATGCTCCAAGGAGAACTGGGAGGGTATCATTACGAGGATCTGGCCCAGGACCAAGTACTTGGACGTGATCGTCACCGGAGCTATGGCACAGTACATTCCGACACTCGAATACTACAGCGGCGGGCTTCCGATGGCGTGTACCATGTACGCGTCATCGGAGTGTTACTTCGGCCTGAACTTGAACCCCATGTGCAAACCGTCCGAGGTTTCCTACACCATCATGCCCAACATGGGCTACTTCGAGTTCCTCCCGCACAACCCGAGTTCCGGCGACGCGGCGCCGGCGAAGCTCGTCGACCTGGTCAACGTCGAGGTGGGGAAGGAATACGAGTTGGTGATCACCACCTACGCCGGGCTCTGCCGTTACCGGGTGGGGGACATCCTCCGAGTCACGGGGTTCCACAACTCGGCGCCCCAGTTCCACTTCGTGAGGAGGAAGAACGTGCTGTTGAGTATCGACTCGGACAAGACGGACGAGGCCGAGTTACAGGGCGCGGTGGAGAACGCGTCGAAGCTACTCAGTGAGTTCAACACCAGCGTGGTGGAGTACACGAGCTACGCCGACACGAAGACGATTCCGGGACACTACGTCATCTACTGGGAGCTGCTGATGAAAGACCCGTCGAACTCGCCGAGCGGGGAGGTGCTGGACCGGTGCTGCTTGGCGATGGAGGAGGCGCTCAACTCGGTGTACCGACAAGGCCGAGTCGAGTGCAACTCGATCGGGCCGCTGGAAATCCGAGTCGTGAAAAGCGGGACCTTCGAAGAGCTGATGGACTACGCGATCTCTAGAGGCGCGTCGATCAACCAGTACAAAGTCCCCAGATGCGTTAGCTTTGCGCCGATCATGGAACTTCTCGACTCGCGAGTGGTGTCCACGCACTTCAGCCCGTCTCTTCCTACCTTTATCCCTGAACGAAAGTCTTAATGCGCTGTTTGACCAGTTTCAGTCAACGCCTATTTAGTTTTTTTTCTTCTTAAGTTTATATATATATATATATATATATATATATATATATATATATATATATATATATATATAAATATATATTAAGGAAAATGGGTTATGTATTTTGTCATTGTGATTAGAGATCTCAGTGTAACTAGCTGATAATTAATTAGGGGTTAAGTTTGAAGATTTAGGCTTCACAACAATGCTATGGCATGTGAAATGGATGTAATATGGTGCCATGCTATGCTGGTTCGAGTAGCTAGTTAATTAATTAATGTTCCTTTATATGTATTCTGACTATAAATCATAGAATATTAATATTAATGAATAATATCCACCTATTTTACGAGTCGCAAATAAAAAAATTATAAACAATTTAAATATATCATTTCTAAATGGTCTCAAACAATTTTAAAATGAATATTTAAATTCAAAATTAGGATCGATGTTCGTGAGTTTTGTAATCTTTTTGACTTTAGCATTTTTCTTTTGAATTGCTGCGGAGGCTACATCTTAAATTGCTTAAAAAACAATCCAATTTTTGGGTAGTTAAAAAAAATCTGGTTTCTTTTTAAAATTAATAATGTTTTATGAGATTAATATCATTCGTTGGTTTGATTTTTTTTTATAGTCTGTGAACTAAAGGAGCGAAATGTCATGAATTGAATAAGACAAGAAATGAGAAAAGATTAGGAGAAAGTGACTGATTAATTATGTCATAATACCTTGGCGTAACAGTCATCAGTAATTAAATAAGTTTAAAAAACGTGTGATGTTGGGAGATGGTACAGGTAGTAATTAATTAATGATAAGTATCAATTGATGGGGAAAGTACGTACATGCACTTTTGCGTTACAAGTCTTGGTCAAAAGTAATATAGGTACACAGTAGAGATGGATCGATGATCGAGGGGGCAACAGACCATAAGCTGCTCCCGCCTTTTGTTTTGATGAATCCAAATATACGGCTGGGCCAAACGCATTAAATGAACCAAGGCCCGTTTTGCTATATATTGTTAGAGCATTCACAAATCAGAATGGTAACATCTCTCATTAGATGCTCAAGTGTGGGTTCCATTATAAAGATGTTATTTTAGTATCTCTCTCAACATTTTATTCTTTCAATCC